AATGTTGATCCTACCAAGTGGATAGATCTTATTGATAAAAAGTGGAACACTAAAGAATTTCTGGTAACATTTTCATCTTTTTTATTATATTAGCGAAGAAAGAATTTGATTAGAATAGGGAGAGATTCTAAAACAACTAGAAAGAACACAATCAATTTGCTGTGAAATTCCATATGTATTCTTTTCCCTTTATCTTCTAGGCATGTAAGTGGAACATAATAAAAACCAAATAAGTGGAAAAATGAGAAAGGGAAACTATTAAACATGGATTGGAAGGCTCGCATAATATGAGATTAATTTATGGTTCGTTAAAGTGCATCTTTCACATCATAGAATACATGAACCAGAAGAAAACGATGTGTTCCAACAAGAAAATATTACCGATGTTGTTCCAATTGACATTGGCTCTAATGTTCAATGTTATAGAGATGGTGTTGAAGCAGAAGTTGTTACAAGGGTTAGGTCATCTGATGAAACAATGATACAGAAAAGAGTTGACAAACAAAATGAAGAGTGTGACGAACCTGATGTGGATTACGATATGGATCTTGATGTAGACTAGGATTTGTAGTTATTTTGCACTTTCTATATGAACATTGTTCTTAATTAATGTATTTGAATTTCAGTTGTGGGGTTCATCCACTGTTATGTAGGTTTATCATTGATTGGTCATATTGTGTGTCTGATGGCTTTGTAATTAATTTGTTCTATGATAAGTAAATGGTAAAAACAAAAATCATCCATATCACTCTAGCCATATTTCAATGATTTAGAGCCTATATGACATATCCACTTGTTGAGATTGTTGTTGCTTTATGCTTTATGTATAGAAATATATAATTATCTTTTCTTTACATCTAATGTTCAATTATGTGTATCCACCAAAAAAATGTTCAATTATGCTTTATAGTTGGGCAAAATGGACACTACAAAAAAACAGTTGACCAAACCAAGTACTGCAACTAAGAAGGTAACAAACTATGAGAAACAAAGAATGAAGACAATTAATAAAAACCGTGAGAGAATAAATGCTTTAGGAGTGAAGAATATAACAACATGTTTGAAGGCTACGGCTCAACATAAGAAATTGAGGAAGGAAAAATAAATACCAATTAAGGAAAATGACGATGATTATCGACCTTCAGAGGCCGAAGATGGCAGTGACACTTAATCCTATGAGTCGTTTGAGCATGAGGTACTATACATTTATGCATTGTGAAATATATTCTTTCTTGTTACTTTCAATTCATATACACATATACATGTATATCTTTGTACATATATTTATATTTTATTATGTTATTCAACTGTTAGAGATACTATCAAGATCTCGTTCACAATCTCATCTTGAGGCATTGACCCATGCATCAGAAGAGGAGGATACCTCTTCACGTCCTGAGGTGGGTAGCCATCCCTCACCACCTCTCAATGTGGAGCCTCAACTTGAGGTGACTGCTGGTAATACTATTGGTAAGACACACTCTTTATTTACATTGATTTGAGATCTTAATTAAATTTGTTCACATACTATTTCAATATTATGGCTTCACAATATCAGCTGCTAAGCGTGTTTGTGGCCCAACTTGAGGCAAAGAGGTTCAAGGCCTTGTTGATAGAGATGGAAAGCTTAACGTGTCTATTCCTCCAGAATTTCGTGCACCGATAGGGGACTATGCCTCAAAACTAGCCTCAAAGATTAGTGTAGAAGTGCGAACATGTTTACCAGATCCAAGTGTTCGTAGGTGGAAGTATGTTGATGCCTCCGTTAAGGAAACGATGTTTCAACGCTTGAATGTAAGTTCACCGTCTACTCTGTTATAAGACATTTTACTCATCTTTATAATAGGTTAGAAATCTTAATTATTTATCTTAATTTTATTTTATTTTTTTTAGGAATTATCTATGACATATCTATTTTTTGCAGGATCAATTTGATTTACAATGAGACCCTGTTGATATGGAAAAGGCAATGAACACAAAATTTGGTCGGAGATTGAGTAACCATACCTATAGGCTGCACAAACAATTCATGGAGCAGAAGGAGGCTAAAAGGGAGGAGTATGCAAGAAACCAGCCATCGAAGGATGTTGATCCTACCAAGTGGATAGATCTTATTGATAAAAAGTGGAACACTAAAGAATTTCTAGTAACATTTTCATCTTTTTTATTATATCATCGAAGAAAGAATTGATTAGAATAGGGAGAGATTCCAAAAAAATTAGAAAGAACACAATCAATTTGCAGTGAAATTCCACATGTACTCTTTTCCCTTTATCTTCTAGGCATGTCAGTGGAACATAATAAAAACCAAATAAGTGGGAAAATAAGAAAGGGAAACTAGTAAACATGATTGGAAGGCTCACATAATAGGAGATGAATTTATGGTTCCTTAAAGTGCACCTTTCACATCCTAGAATGAAGAACTAAGATTTCAATTTCTATGATTGTATTTCTTGTTTGTTCTTGGGTTTGGTCTAAAGTTTCATGATAATGTTAAGCAACTAGCTGAGTAACTAATACAGGTTATTGAGACAGAACTTTAGATTTGATAAAGTTGTGGAAGAAAGAAACGGTTATGAGTTTGGTATTAGTAATTGTTCCATATCTTGTGAAATGTAAATGGATTTTTTCACAATCTATCTTGCCCATGCTTATATGTCCTTATTTGTGAACAGTGTAAATTTATCATTTTTCTTTTTTTACCTAGAAAAACCATCTTATGATGAAATCTCAACAAGTCCTTTAGTCTGTTTTTCAAAGAATTGAATGATACTAGTGAATAATTTGAAATATCTTTTAAGTTGAAATAATATATAAGAAAAGGATAGAGAAAAACAATGCAATTCCTTTATTATCAAGCATTAAATTTGTCTTACTAATGATACATTTCATTGTTATATTGGTTCATTCTTCCTTATAGGAACAATCAAAAGCCACCATATTATCTTACTAATGATACATTTCATTGTTATATTGGTCATTCTTCCTTATAGGAATAATCAAAAGCCAACATCGCAAATAGAGAAAAGATGAATACAAAACATAGGTGTGGTTCTAGGTCAATCCTGGTTGGAGTAGAAAAACAGGTACGTATCCTTGCACTTTACGAATTATGTTAGATTCATAGCTTTATTTATTGAATATTTAGTCTATCAAATTAGGCACGAGAAAAGAAGATGCTACCTGATTTAGCAGAGTTTTACAAGGAAACTAACTATAATAAAAAAACACATGAGTGGATCTCCTCTAAAGCTCAGTATAATTATGTGAGTATATATTGCAATTTTTATTAACAAAATTTTAGAATACTATTTGTCATAATCTTATTTAATTTTCTAATAATTATTTAATTTTTTAATATTTGATAGGAAAATATGATACAGACACAAGCTGATCACCTCTCACAGCCAAGATTAATCCCTTTGACTGCAGAAGAGCTATCAATCAAAGTCCTAAAGCCAAGGTCTGGCTATGTGAAAGGACTTGGCATGAGACCTTCATCCTCTATTAGGAGGACCACTACCAAATGCGCTGAAACAAATGATTATGTAAAGCGCCTTGAGATGCAAATAAAGACACATAAGGAACAAATACAAATGCAGAACAATAAAATAGAAGATCTTGAAGAGGGTAGGAAGAAGCAAGGGAAGGTAATGGCAGATGTCGTCAACTTTTTGAGGAGCAAAGGATTCACTGGACACTTTGGAAATAAAGGGGACTCATCCACAAGTGGACATACTTCTTGGTAAAGTATATTAACTTTAATACAACAAAATTTGTAAAAGAATATACGTTTGAAGAATTAGGAAGTAATGAAAACATGCATAGGACATCCAATTTGTACAGGTGTATGGGATGTATAAATTGTGAATTAGTCGAAAATATACTTTTTTCTCCATACTTAAAGCTTCAAAAAAGGCCGTCAAAAAGCTAAATTATCACACAACCATAGATTTGTATAGGAACTAACTGAAACACCTTAGGAGGGGCCAATATAAGTTGTATGAACTTACAGAACATTAATGGGATGTACCAATTGTGAATTAGCCTTAAAATTAATTTTTTGTTCCCATAATCTTGAAAAAAAGTCTGTTAGAGGGATAAATTGTATAATTGATCTAATTGTAAATTGATTAGTTATTAATATTTTTAATCTTTTGTATAATTGATTAGTGTAATAACCCCGGCCCGTAATTAGCTCCTAATCAATGATTAAAGATGCTAATTGAGTGGATCAAGTGAGTTATGGGATTAATATGTAAATTGCATGATATTTGGCCTTCTATCTGTTACTTATAGAAATATCTGTTTGGAATTCCACTTTAATATGTAAATTGAAAGCCTTATCGGCATCCAAAATCGAAATTGACTACACCGATATGTTATTTGGAATTTTTAGAACCATATGGCAAGTTTTATTAAAAATTGATTCAGTCTGATTCGTTAAGTCACGTTTGGCAAGCCTTATGTTCTAATTAAAATATTTTTAGCACCATAGTTATACATGTAACCCATAAGCTCATTTGAGCTCATTTTATTTCATCTCCCTCAGTGGAAAAATCTGGTGAAACATTTTAGAGAGATAGGAAGCACAATTCTAGTGAGAGAAAATAAGAGATTAAGGAGAAATTGAAGGCTATAGCTTGAATTGATCAAAGTTTGTGCTAGAACAAGAGTAATTCAAGATTCTAGGTAAGATTGCAACCTCTAGATTGTGTAACTAAGTCATTTAACATGAAATTTCTTCAAGATTATGAGTTTGATGTGTATATGAGTTTAGAATAAAGATTTGAGTTGCAATTCATGCATGCATGTACATTTTCTCACAAATTGAGCATGAACTCTAAGAATTCTCTCTTGCATGTTTGAAATTCATCTTCATTTGGGGAAATCATCAAGTTTCAAGTTGTTTTGTGGTGTTTGATCATGTTTTGAGAAGTTTGATAGAAGAAAAATTCATGCATGTTGTGTTCATGAACATTCATCATGTTTTAAGTTGAAATTGGGAACTTTTGGCAAACCCTTGGGCCATGATTTTATGAAATGATCCTAAATTCTTCATGTTTTACAAGTTTACCATGTTATCTCAAGTTTTGGGGCCCAAGAGATGTGTTTTGAAGGTTGAAATTCGAGTTTTGAGCTTGAAGGTGCAATCTGGAAATTCCAAAATTTCATCTACACTCGAGCGTGGGAGTTCACGCTCGAGCGACCAATCTGAGTGCGTGCACTCCGCTCGAGCGACCAAAAGTCCGCTTGAGTGTGAATTGCAAGCTCCCAGAAGTTTCACATCTTTTACAGATCGCTCGAGTGAAGGAATGTGCGCTCAAGCGACCATTCACATTTTGCATGCCCGCTCGAGCGAGAAAATTTACGCTCAAGCGTGAACCTTATTTTCAGACATTTTTCCTAAGTGTTCCAAGGCATGTTTTGGCATCCTCATTGCATCTTAGGCATTCCTAAGCCTTAATTAAGCCATAGTAATGAGGCTATGGTTTAGAAACACACTAAGACAAGAATGTACTAAGTCAAGGAATTGCAAGTGTGTGCGTGTTAGACAATGTGATAAGAAAGAACAAAAACCAACGTAATGAAAGCTAAGCCGTGTTGGCCACATGAATGTGTAATAATAAGACATGCTTGTGTTATGTATTTTGTGATTGTAGGTCAAGACTCGAGGATTGATTGACCATTTACGGGAACCACTGTGAGTAACATTTATGCAAAGATATGTTGATATGAATTATGTTCCAAATGAAATGTGATAAGCTATGATTTCACAGATTTGGTTAA